GGTACATGTTGAGGGGTATAATCCCACGTTGAAAAAAGAACGATATTATATGTGTAGATCTTTGTGTGTAATTCTCCTTGATGAGGGAGAGATAATTTTGTATTACAAATAGAGCTTTTACATGTACATAGAAGTAAATAAATCATTTTACACGCATCAATTAATTGGAGTTTATCTAATGATTTCTTTTATTTGTGTAGTCTTATTAATGATTTTATTCTCTGCTTGACATTATCAATTAATTGGAGTTTATCTAATGATTTCTTTTATTTTTGCAGTCTTATTAATGGTTTTATTCTCTGCTGGACATTCCTTGCATAGAGGAGATTGCATAAATTTATTCTCTGCTGGACTTTCCTTGCATAGAGGAGATTGCACAATTTTAGTATTCTTAACACCTTATAGGTGCCCAAGAGAATAAAGCAGTGTCATTCTTTAGTGTGAGGTGAAAATTAACAAAAAACTCTCTAAGCTCACACATAATGGAATGATCATATTTTCAATGTCCACCTTTTAATAATGATCTTTCTTGGGATGATTTGTTCTCCTCTCAATTCGAGGCTGAGAAGTCGCATAGTGGACACCTGACGAGAACAATTTGTTTGAAAATGCTTTGGTAGAAGTTGATCTAGACAATCCTGCCTTCTTTGAAAATGTTGCACATAGGGTTCCGTGGAAATCAATTGATGAAATCTCAACCCAATACCAAGTCTTGGTCGAAGATTTAGAGATGATTGAGTCTGGTATTTACCAAATTCCCAAATATGAAACTGATGATGAGGACAACCAAGATGAATCACAAGTTAGAAATGAAAAAGAATCTCCATCACAAGAACCTAAAAAGACATGCAATGGCCATAAACGCCGGAGGGGGTTCCATGGACAAAAGAACACCATTAATTTTCTTATGCTTTTAACTTAATTTTTTAAACTATTTCTACCTTAATTATTTGACTATTTAACAATCAAATGCTTCCTTATTTAGGAGATTTTTTAATTTTTAACCTTTAGTAGAATGTATGCTAGATTTTCAACTTTGATTTTCTCATTAATTGGCTTTCATTTTTTTCTTTTTTAAAATCAAAATATGACTATGAAAAAGTATTAAATAAATATCGAAACGAATTAGGAAAGAATACAATCTTTAGAAGGGAACAATGGGACTTTCAAAAAGCTAGTCGAGTTGAGTGTGAGGTATAGTTAAAACACTAAGCATTCTATCTCACGGTTTACATCTTTTCTCCCACTTTGTTCTTCCCCCACCCCCCCCCCACCCCCCAAAATCGTGCAGGTATTTTTTGGGCCCTAGCTCTCTTTTACTTAAATTTAATTGCTGTGCCGACCCCCCCACGCCCCCCACCCCCACAAAATAAAATAAAATCATGCAGGTATTTTTTGGGCCCTAGCTCTCTTTTACTTAAATTTAATTGCTGTGCTGATATCAATTTTTAATTTCTTTCCCATTTCGTATATAAATTTCTGAGATTCAGATCAGTAACATGTTATCTAATTAGCCATAAAAATTTACATGATTAATTAACATTAATGTAATCACGGGTTCAAATCTCTTGCATGCAAGAGTTCAAGAAACTCAATACCTACATACTATTTCATAGCTGTTAGAACCCAGAATATTTAAAAAAAAAAAAAAAGTATGTTTATGCCTTTTGACATGACCATCCCGAATCACCCTAATGAATCGGGCACGTGTCATGCACCGATGGTAAATATCAGCTAAGTGCTAAACCCCCCCACCAAGACAAACTTGATCTCCTTTGACTCTAAAAAAAAATAAATAAATAAATAAATAAATAAATAAAAAAAAAATTGACAGATCTTCCTTTGAAATATGGATCAAAATAACTTGATCTATAATCGATTTCCTCACATTAATACATATATGGATTGTTTGAGCTCCATTGTTTTTTAAAAAAAATACAGTTTGAAATAGTGTTATGTTAGAAAATGTGAGATTAAAAAATAAAGAAAAATTTTGAATTTACGTATACTATTATTTTATTAAAAATGTGTAGTTGAAAAGAGTCAAATCACTGTTGAAAAATATATTTTGATAAAAAAAATGGGCTCAAACGAGGACATAATATAAAATAGGGTACACCAACCCCTCAAATCACCAACTATTCAAAATAAAAGTGCATTAGAAAGAAATTTACACTCTTTTACAAACCAGGAGACTCCAAATGCACAACATATATAAAAAATATGTAGTAAGCCCATAATATGGATATGTTATTGACAAAAGATGCGTCTTTCCCAAAAATATGATATGTATAAATTGACAAGATGAATCATACAACAAAAGACAATGTGTGGCTCAACTCCGTAGATCAACATGCTCCAATGTTACTCAACTCAACCACCATCAGATAAGAAAAGTGTGACAAAATATATGACTTTGCAGTAAATAAGTATATATTCTCCATTATGCCAACTGTCTTAAAACTAGTACTTAATAAAATATCCTTTTAAAATCTTTATTTTTTAAATTGAAATACCTAAATTCTGTAATATGAAAATTGATAAGCTGTAAATTACTGAAAATCACACCAAAAAGTTCCTAAAATAACCTTACACACGTATCAAATAATACCGATTACATGGCAAAGCTATTAAATTCTGTAATTTTGGTTATACGCGCGCAGAGCTGCCCAAATGCTATAATATGGTTATACACTATGGAAAAATATTCACAATAGTACTGAGCAAGTAAAATCATCATAAGTGTTCAAACACTGTGAAAACACATTCACACTAATGCAGAGTGAGTAAAATAATCATATGGAGTCATACATTGTTGAAACACATTCATACCAATACAGGCTAGAGTAAAATCACAGAGATACTTTCTGGCGATTTTAAAAATAACTTTAGATATGCTGAAATATTTAGTAATGACATAATATGCTAATGAAATGATTTAACTAAACTGAATTTAACTTTAAAAAAAATTATTATAAAATCCACTTCAGTCTAAAAATTTTGTTGTCAAACTAACTGTACAAAATAATTAACCATCTATCTAATATAAATTAAATAAATACATATTTCTAAAAAATAAATTTTTATTTACTCGCATAATACAAGTTATAGCCTAAGATGGTCGGCAGGCTTTTTCAATCTCCTCTTCTCCACTTGAAATACGATACAAGATAACCAATTAACCACTATCAAATTAAGAAACCTTTTATCTCTAATGATATAATACCTAAACTAAATTTCTTGATACTTGAATAAATTCTCCAAAATTTTCTTTAATCAATTGGAGCTAATTCCACTTTATTCTAGTCCTTTTATTAATAACTAATTCATCAAAATAACATTCATCCCAAACATAAAAATAATTATCATTCAATCTAGTGAAAACTAACACAAACAACTCAACCAACCTAAATTTCATTTTGCTCCATAAAATCGTTCTTTCATTTGAATATTTCATCACCATAGTCAGTTCCACTAACAATGTTTAATCAAGAATTCAAAATAAAAATTCTAGGGTTTGCCCAAAAATGGTATTACTTACTCTGATTCAACCGAAAATTAATCAATCAACCAATTTAAGCAAGAAATTATACTCCTTCCACTAAATTTGAAAATTAAACCCTTAAATTTAACCAACTAATTAAACCTTAGCAACTTTAACTTCATCCTTCCATAAAAAAAAATTATTTCTTTACCTCTTGAAGAAATGAACCAAGTTTTTCTTCCTTTACTTTTTTTTTCTCTGCTTTTCTTCCTTTCTTTTCAGTTCTTCTTTCTTTCTCTCAACCGGTCTTCTGCCTTCTATTTTCTCAATTTAGTGGGCATTAACTTATAATTGCAAAAGAAGACCCCTAACCTTCATAGAAAAACCACATTAAATCCTAAATTTTCAAAAAAATATATAAGTAGATCCCCAAATTAAATATTATCCATCTAAAACCTTCAAATATCTTCAATTGTAAAATAAATCCCAATAAAATGATTTATTTCATTTTAGTCCCTATTTGACTTTGACAAGTCAACTATGACTTTTGACCAGAAAAAATTGGGTTGTAACAATCTTACCTCCTTAAAAGAATTTCGTCCTCAAAATTCAAATCGCAACAAACTAGGCAATGAAATAATGAGGATATTGAGTACACATCTGATCCTCATTCTCTCGTGTGGCCTCTTCTATCGTCTGATTCTGCCAAAGAGCATTTACAAGTGAAATTGTCTTGTTTTGCTGATTTGCACATTTATGTCTAAAATTCTCACCGGCTCTTCAACATAAGTCATATTCTCCTTCAATTGAACTGGTTGATACTTTAGAACATAAGAAGGATCTGCAATGTACATGTAGAGCATGGAGACATGAAAAATATCATGGATCTTGGATACTTCAGTTGGCAAATCTAATCAATATGCAACTGAACCAATCCACTCAGTAATCTCATAGGGTCCAATGTATCGTGGACTCAATTTTCCTCACTTGCCAAACCTCAAAACCCCTTTCTAAGGCGACAATTTTAGAAATACTTTATCTCCGACTGTGAATTGAAGATCTTTCCTCCATTTATCTGCATAACTTTCTTGTCTATCTTGTGCTGCTTTCAACTTTTCTCTAATCAATTTCATATTTTCTGAAGTCATTTGAACCAATTCATGACCTATTAACTTTCTTTCACCAGCTTCTTCCCAGCAAACTGGTGTTCTGCACTTCCAACCATTTAAAGCTTCAAAAGGAATCTTTCCTATATTAGAGTGGTAACTGTTACTATAAGCAAACTTCATCAAAGACACATGAGTATCCAAGCTATCTTTGAACTCAACAGCACAAGCCCTCAACATATCCTCAAGAATCTATATAGTCTTCTTTGATTGGCCATCTGTCTAAAAATGAAAAGCTGTACTGAAATATAGTTTGGAACCCATGGCATCCTATAAATAAGGCCAAAATTTAGATGTAAAACGAGGGTCTCTATCAGATACAATAGATAATAGAATACCATATAAGCTCACTATCTCGTCCATATAAAACTTCCCAACTTATTTAAAGTATAAATGGCTTTGATTGACAAAAACTTGGCAGTTTTGGTCAAACGATCTACAATAACCTAAACACCATCATGGCCATTTAGAGTACGAGGAAGACTAAGTAAAAAGTCCATAGTAATGTGCTCCCATTTCCATTCGGGAATAGGCAATGGCTGTAAAAATCCTACTGTTTTGTAACTAATTGACTTACCTACTGACATATAAGACATTTGGATACAAAATCTGCTATCTCTCTCTTCATGCCAATCCATCAGTAATGATCTTTCAATGTGTGTTACATTTTAATACTACTTAGATGCATAACATAGGTAGACTGTGTGCCTCTTCAGTCCATACAAATTGGGTATTCTTTCGAGTCAAACTAGTCAGAAGAAGAGCAATTTTGAAAAATTCCTCTATGAGTCGAAACAATAACTTGCTAGCCCAAAAAAAGACTCCGACTTCTATAACATTAGTAGTGTGTTCCCATTTCATTACAGCCTCAATGTTATGAAGAACTACATAAATGTCTTTTACTGAGATAACATGGCCTAGAAACACAACTTTATACAGCCAAAATTCATATTTACTGAACTTAGCATACAACTGCTTATCTCGCAAAATCTGCAAAATAATCTTCAAGTTCTCAGCATGTTCATCACTACTGCTAGAATAAACCAACATATCATTAATAAAAATAATCACAAATTTGTCTAAATATGGGTGAAGCACCCTGTTCATTAGATCTATAAATGCAGCTGGGGCATTAGTTAGCCCAAGTGGCATCATCAGAAACTCATAATGGTTATACCGTGATCTAAAAGCAATTTTCTGCACATCAACCTCCCTAATTTTGAGTTGATGATACCCTGAATGCAAATAGCATCTCGAAGTTGGTCAAATAAATCATTAATACGAGTCAAAGGATATTTGTTGTGAATAGTCACTTTATTCAGCTGTCTATAATCAATACACAATCTCATTGTACCATCCTTCTTCTTCACAGATAAGATTAATGCTCTCATGGAGATACACTAGGTCTAATTAAACCCTTGTCAACTAAATCTTGCAACTAAACTTTTAATTCTTTCAGTTCTGCTAGAGCCATTCTGTAAGGTAGTTGTGAAATAGGAGTAGTTCCATGGATCAAATCAATAGTAAACACAATTTCCCTATCAGGAGGTAACCCCAGAAGATTTTCAAGAAAAATGTCAGGAAAATATCTTACCACTGATATATCATCAAGTTTTAGATTAGCGATTTGGATATCAATCATATGAGCTAAATATGCATGACAATATTTTCTAAGCAATATCTTAGCATCAAGTATAGATATGATACATAAAGGTAATATTCTCCATTCACCACTAAAAATAATTTCAAACTCTTTTGGCCTTCTAAACACTACCTCTTTGTGAAAACAATCAACTGGGGCATAATTTGCAGCTAAGAAATCTATTACCAAAATCACATCAAAATTATGAATATCAAGTGGAATCAAATTAGCTTTCAACTATCGATCATTCACTCTAATCGTGCAATCCTTGTACACACTGTTAACTAAAAGTGAATCTCCTACAGGAGTAGCTACCACTATATCATTGTCTAACCGTTCTAGCATATTGTACGCATAATTAGCAAATGCATTTGATAGAAATGAATGTGTAGCACTTGAATCAAATAAAGAATTAGCATTTTTACCAAAAATAAATAACGTACCCATAACCACATCTGGTGACACAGCAAAAACTCTCCCCTGAGCCCAATGACGTCTTATCTGGCCTTTCTGTCTAGTACCACTACTGCCAATGACATTAGATTGAATAACACTAGTAGCAGTTGCTTTACCTACCAACGTGTCCTGGTTCTAATTCTGTCTAGAAATACCAACACTTGGCTATAGAGATGTCCCCTGTGATATACCATCCTGCTAAAAACGAACTGGACACTTTTCTCAAAATGCCCAGTCTGACGACAGTGACAACAAACACCAACACCCTTAAGGCATTCTATAGGGTGAAATTTTCCACACGGCTGACGTTAAGAAAATCTAACAACACTAGAGCTATCACCCTAGCCTGGAGTCGATAATATCTGAACATATCCCTAAGTATGAGTACAACTATTCCCTGGCTGTTGCACTAATCTCTGGCTCGATCTCAATCCCTAACTTCCGCAAGATCTAGATTTGAAGTTACTAGAAGTGGAAACACATATTCCACCTCCTATACGATCTTTCCACGATGATCCATTCACAGAAACTCCTGCCCATGTATGCTTACCACCATTAACACCAAGTCTCATTTGTTGTTGATTTTTTTTTCGTTTCTGAAAGACCTTTTTCAATCCTCAACGTTGCTTCTACAAGTTTACCAAAATTTTCACACCCTGTTGCAGTTACCACTAATCTGGTTTCTTCTCTCAAGCCATACTCAAACCTCCTACACCTATTAGCTACATCATCTACAAGGACTGTAGCATATTTTGACAATTCTAAAAACCTTTTCTGATATTCCGCCACTGTGGATGTCTATACTAATTTCAAAAATTCATTCTATTTATCATTCTTATATGAGTGAAGGCAATAATACTTGTTAAAATCATCTTTAAAATCACCCCAAGTGATCATAGAAAGATCAACATATTTACCATGCATAGATCTCCACCAATCATACGCAACTCCTTCTAACAAGAAGGTAGCAAGATGTAAATTTCGATCATCAGAACAACCTATAACCTCAAGTATTCTTTCAATCTTTACCAACCTAGATTAGGCTTCTGCTAGATCAGATGTACCTGTGAACACGTTAGCTCCTAATTTAGTTGCTCGCTCAATGCTATACTCTTTATCAGAACTACATAAAGCAGAAACAACCACTGTAGCATTCCTATCAGCTATAAGATCAAGCTGAGCTACATCCCCATGTCGTAGCTGCTCATGAGTTTGCAAGCTGATTCCTCATCCCTACTAATATCTCTAATGTCATCTCTATCAGGAGCAACTTGTGCTTGAGATGGCACATCCTTGAGCTTGTGAGTCTTACCACCACGAACCATGACCTCCAACTACAAAATATGTATGATATGTTCAGAACAAAATCAAAATAAATACCATGCAGGCTGACTCTATGACCATGCTTTGATACTAATTGACACGACCCATCTCAAATCACCCTAACGGACCCGATACGCGGCTTGCACCGATTGTAGATACTAGCTAAATGTTGGACCCACCACCAAGGCAAATTTAACCTACTTTGACTATGATGAATTTTACCAAAAAAAAAAATTGACAGAGTTTCCTCCGAAATATGGACCAAAACAACCTGATCTATAATAAATTTCCTCAAATCAATACATATAATGTAAAATGAGGTACACCAACCCCTCAAATCACCAACTATTCAAATTAAAGTGCACTGAAATGAAATTTACAGTCATTTACAAACCATACACTCCAAATGCACAACATATACAAAAAATATGTTGTGAGCCCATAATATGAATACATTATTGGAAAAAGATGCATCTATCCCAAAATTATGAACTGTATAAATTGACAAGATGAATCATACAACAAAGACAATGTATGGCTCAACTCGGTAGATCAACGAGCTCCAATGTTGCTCAACTCAACTACCATCAGATAAGAAAAGTGTGACAAAATATATGAGCATGTAACTCAATGAGTGTATATTTCACGAATAAGTATATATTCTCTATTTATGCCAACTTTCTGAAAACTAGTATTTAATAAAAGTATCCTTTTATGGTACTATAAGATAAAATCTTTATTCTTTAATTTGAAATAACTAAATTCTGTAATCTAAAAACTGATAAGATGTAAATTGCTGAAAATCACACACAAAAAAGGTACTCAAAATAACCGTACACATGTATTGATTAATATCGATATACATGGCAAAGCTATTAAATTCTGTAATTCTATATTTTTGGTCATACGTGTAGAGCTGCCCAAAAAGACTATATAATATATTCATATACTATGAAAACACACTCACAATAGTGCAGAGCGGATAAAATCACCATAAGTGTTCATACACTATGGAAGCACATTCACACAGTGCAGAGTGAGTAAAATAACCACATGGAGTCATACATTGTTGAAACACATTCAAATCAGTGCAGATTAGGGTAAAATTAGCTGAGTACTTTCTGATGGTTTTAAAAATAACTTTAGATATGCTGAAATATTTAATATTGACAAAACATACTACTGAAATGATTTAATTAAACTAAATTTAACTTTTAAAAATCCTGACTATAAAATTCACTTTATTCTAAAAAATTTGTTGTCAAACCAACTGTACGAAATAATTAACTTTTTGATCTAATATAAATTAAATAAATACTTATTTCTGAAAAATAAGTTTTTATCCACTCACATAACAAAAGCTATAGCTTAGGATGGTCGGTAGGCTTTTCCAATCTCCTCGTAACCACCTGAAATACGATGCGAGATAACTAATTAACCACTATCAAATCAAGAAACCTTTTATTTCTAATGATATAATACCTAGACTAAATTTCTCAATACTTTAATAAATTTCCCGAATTTTCCTTTAATCAATTGGAGCTAATTCCACTTTATTCTAGTCTCTTTATTAATAACTAATTCATCAAAATAACATTCATCCCAAGCATAAAAATAATTATCATTCGATTTAGTGAAAACTAACACAAACAACTCAACCAACCTGACTTCCATTTTGCTCCATAAAATCATTCTTTCATTTAAATATTCCATCACCACAATCATTTCCACTAAAATTATTTAAATAAAAAATTCCAAATAAAATTCTAGATTTTGCCCAAAATGGTATTACTTACCTTGATTCAACTGAAAAATAATCAATCAAGCAATTTAAGCAAGAAATTATACTCCTTCCACTAAATCTGAAAATTAAACTAACTAATTAAACCTTAGCAACTTTATCATCATCTTAAAAAACAAAAAACAAAAAAAAAAAAACAAAAAACAAAAAAGAAAAAAGAAACAAAAAAATATATATTTATTTACCTCTTGAAGAAATGAAAAACTTGAACCCAAGCTTTTCTTCCTTTTTCTTCTTCTTTTCTTTCTTTTCCCTCTTTCTCTTCCTTTTTTCTAAGTTTTTCTTTCTGTCTCTCAACCCGTCTTCTGCCTTCTATTTCCTCTGTGTGTGTGTGTGTGTTTAAATGAAAAATGATTAATAGTTTAGAATAACACTAGTTGTACATAATTTTTTTTGTAAATTAAGGTATCCATACACTCACAAGGAGTGGGGTCCACTCAAATAAAATATTCGAACTGTTCCACCCCATGTTAGTGTGGAACACCTTGATGTACATAAAAAGTTATGTACACCAAGCAAAGTCCAATTGTTTAATAGTTAGTGGGCACTAACTTATAATTGCAAAAGAAGACCCCTAACCTTCATGGAAGAACCACATTAAATCCTAAACTTCCCAAAAAAAAAAAATCCATCTAAAACCTTCAAATATTTTCAATTGTAAAATAAACCCCAATAAACTAATTTATTTCATTTTAATTCCTATTTGACTTTGACTTTAACAAGTCAACTTATCATTTGTTACTAGAAAAAAATTGGGTGGTAACACCTTAGACTACGTACGGATACAATTTATAAATTTAATTATAAAGGACATACATATATGGCTTTTAGCCTCTATATGGATACAGTTTATAGATTTATTTGTAAATTCAGTACACATAGCTACTATCTATTGGCTCACATATCGCAAGATCCACTATTATCCCTATTTATAAATTTACCAAACAGTGGCTTAACTCTTTTAGCAGTACATGCATTTTCTATGATAACTTGTTACACTTTTATGAAAATTTTCACCATATATTTTTGTCTTTAGCTTGACTCGTTTCATCCATTATTTTTTTCTTGCAGTTTGTTCCTCATGGGACTGAATATGGAAAAGGAGATTGGAGGAGCATCTCAAGATATTATGTCCTTAGCAAGAACCCAAACCAAGTTGTCAGCCATGC